GCAAAGGCAAAGGCAAATCCGAAAGGGAAGGCCAAGCCGAGCAGCCTTCCACGGCTCCCACAGGAGGCAAAAAGAAAAGGGAAGTTGAGGATGAGGACCAGGAGGAGCCCAAGAAGAAGCCGAAGCAGGAGAAGGAGGAAGCCAAAGGTAAAAAGGCCGATCCCAAGACGAAAAAGGATGCTGAGGAGGACACCTAGGAGGACTCCAAGGAGGAAGCCAAGAAGAAGGTGCCGAAGAGGAGACTGTCCGTCTCGGATTGGACTCAGATGGTCGAAGCCCAAGAGAGCGAGGAGCAGGAAGAGGAGAAAGACCGAGGAGGCTGAGACTGTGAAAGAGAAAGAGAAAAGGGACAGAAGCAAGACCAACAAGTTCAACTTCCTGATGGCTTGCGGATCCGTGCCTCAGTCGGTGCAGAATACGTATAAGAACATGACGGGGCCAGGAAGCAGGATCAAGCAGACACAGTTCATCAACGCGATCATTCAGAGGGACCCGGGGGGCAACTTGCAGCTTGCCGGGACGAAGAGAGCCACCGTTGCCGGAGCTCAAAGATTGCGGAACGAGAAGAGCTTTGAGATGGAAGACAAGGGGATGAGCCAAACGTTGATCATGAATAAGTTCAACATGACCCCGGAAGCACTCAAGGAGGCGTTCAACAACGGGGAGGTGGACATTGCCTACCACAGCGGCAAACCCTACGTGTCCTGGAGGATTCTCAGGTCGAGAAACAAAGACTCGAAGAGCACGGACATCGATCTTCAAGGGAAGAGGATGGCGATATCCGAAAGGGAGGCAGGCCAAATGCAGAGCCTCTTGGACGATATCAACCTGGAGCTGCCGACGGAGCTGCCGGACATGCCAAACAAGCCGATGATCGCCGACGGTGATTCCGGTTCTGGAACAGGAACAGGATCTGGATCTGGATCGGGATCAGCAGGACCAGCAGCAGAGGAGAAGGCGATGACGACGGCCAAGTGGGCTAAGACAAAGGAGCTCGCGGAACAAGGAGTCACCACCTGTGGGCAATTGCAGGGCAAAGTTGAGAAGATGCTCGAGCAGACGGCTCGAGTGATTCTTGTTGGTCGCAATTGAGGCTTGGACTTGAGTAGGGTGTTATTGTTTTTGTTCCGATTTTTATATTGTATGTTTGTTACATATATATATACAGAAAGCGTCACACTGCAGGCCCGAGTTTTGCCCACATTCAGTTTCGTTCGTATTGAGCCAGAATATATCAACACACACACACACATATTATATATATATGTATATATATATATATGTGTGTGTGTTGATATATTCTGGCTCAATACGAACGAAACTGAATGTGGGCAAAACTCGGGCCTGCAGTGTGACGCTTTCTGTATATATATATATATACGAAAGCAGACTTGTTTCGTCAGCAAACCCGCTCGTTTTGTGCTGTATAAAGAGAGAGATCAACGACCGGATCGAGACATTCCGCAAGGAGATGGAGTCCTTGAAGAAGTTCCAGGACAGACCCTTTCG